TATAAATAAAAAAATTTATGCAACTCGAGATTACGAGGGGATTACACAAAATCATTCTTTTAATCATAATTTCCAGTGCAATTAACAAATTAACGCATAAAACAAACATAAGAAAATTTTTTTTTAAATGCGTTGAGATTAAGAACAAGTTGAGGAAAGAAAAAAAAAATACGTGAGGAGGATTATTCTGAAATAAATTAAAAAGACGAAGGCATTTTAGTACTTATAAAAAGATATCCTTTTAATCATTCTGCGGCCATTTAAAGATGAATAAAAATATATTAATTCATCCTAAATCATCTCGCAGTGCCTCTTTATATATACTTGGTGAATTTTTCCTCAAGAAAAAAAAAGAAACTTCTGAAAATATAACGAAAGAAAAAATACTAAAGCCGCAACTGCGTAGTAAATCAAGTAGTTTAAGTCACTCATAATGATTTTTTTCTCGTGGAAGCATACGCACGCCCACACATTCTTCTATCCTTGTCAGAGAATTTTTGGTGGGGTAAATAAAAGTAAAGGAGTCACGTCGAACGCACTGAGTAAATCTGTCTTTTTCTCGAGTACATAACGCACCCTTGCATGACATGCGTGTACTCTCTTTTCTCATGTAGTGTGCCTGACGCACTAACATGCGCCATTTTGTCGTATGCGTACGTGCGTAAAGTAGCAGAGAGATTAGACATGTATACGTGCTCTTTTGCCCTTATTTTACGCGTGTGCGTGAGCTTCTCTCCCCCTTGGCCGCTCTCTAATACTTGGTCGTCGCCGGTTTTCTCTTCTCGACGCTACGCGCTGGGATTCTGCGATCAATGCGTGCCACTGGCACTGTCGTCATGGTAACGGTGCGCGTAACGCACCGTCGTGCGCCTCGAAGAGAAAATACTGCCAACAGCAGCATCCTCGTGCGTACACGCAGCACCAGCCGGGGCTGCACGCGCTTCTGTCTTTCTCCCCTTTTATCTCTTTTTTCCTTCTTTACTCTTCACATAAACTACGGGCCACCTTTGCTTTCTGGCTTACTTGCGCGCGCAATCACCTCCTACAACCCTCATCCTCACTCTCAATACCCTTCTTCACCCCGCTGATGGCTCCACGAGTTCGCAACTTTGCAGGATGCGTAGGCCACGGGACCTATCGATCCCCCGCCAATTTCTCCGGGTGTATTCATACCACCGAATTCTACGCAGTTTCTTCTAACGAGAGATTACGCTTTTCTGTCACTTTAACCCAAATCCTTCGATAAATATCAATATTTTTCAATTTACGGGATACCAACTTTGTTTATCTCATTTTTTTCCCTTTAATTATCTGATTCTTGGGATTTGTTTAGGCTCTAATGATCATTTATGTCAAGAATTAAGTTGATATTTTTTTTCTTCACTAAATAATCAATTAACATTTACCGTTAAAATTATTGTGCGTTTTAATCATTGCATTAATAAGTTAATTAAATCATTTATTTATACAAAGACGATTAATATTTTTTTTTTAATAATAAAATATATTTTTAAGGATAACAATAGTATTTTTTGAATTTAAATGCTCTGTTTGATCGAGTGTAATAGTCCCTGAGAGTATAAAATAAATATTTGTTCTATCAAATAATAGGAATTGTTTAAATAAAAAGTATTTATCTCCATAGGACTTGAATAAGTGGAAAGTCATGGAAGACAATGAGGAAAAATTTTCTGTGCAAAATTAAAATTTAATATCGATCTGTTTGTGAACTCAGAGAGGGTATTTACTCTAGTTTTGAATAAAAAAGACTAGGAAAAATGCGATGAGAGCGACACGATGCGTGGGCAGAAGGTCGCCGATCGATGCCCCGCAAATTTCTTCGTACGTGAAAGGACCACGTGGAGGGTGTAGTGCGTATAAAGCATGTTTTTCCCTACAACTAGCAACGCTTGACAGAAATAAAACAAACGTAAGCAGAACATAAAATAACTTCACCTAAAAAAAAATAATAATAAAAATAAATAAACAATCATATAGAAGATAAAGAAAAAAAAAATGATAAAATAAATTTAAACTTAAATTTGATGTTATTACGAAATAGAGTTTAGTGAAGAAATAGTAATTTATAAGAAATGATTTAATTTAAAGAACAATTAAAGTTCAATCATGACATAAAATTTATTAAATAACATATCAGAATGATAAGGTCCACAGGTTGTCGCACCAAGGGTGGAAAAAGGTATAGATATCGCCGTTAGGCAGTTAAATATTTGGGTTAAGCCGTGAATGACAGTCAAACTGCGTCGATCTCAAGATCCCAAGGCCAAGAGAATGTAGAAGAGTAAGGAGGAATTTCCCTCGAGTCCTTAAAGGTCAAAAGGGGGAGGATAAGGACAAGAAAATATAGTTCATAAACGTTTCGTGAAATTTCGATTTTCTGTTATTGTTTTTTTCCTCATTGCTTCCTGTTCTTTATCTACTTCATGAAGAAAAAAATGAAACTGCATTCATTTACAGAGCTGCTAAATTCCTATTTTATTAAAAAATTTTTTAAGAATAATAGCAGGGAAATAAAAACCCCTCTGGAATTAAAAATATTTCCAAGAAATAGTTATAAATCAATATATTTTTATTTTAGGCATTCATGACTTTCATTTTTCTTTTATTTATCATCAAAGCAATGAGTCAATTAATATTGATAAAGAGTATTCAGAGGAAAATATTGTTGTTGATAGATAGTTAATTGTAATAGCGAGTTACTATTGCGTGATAATGATGGTTAGATGAAAAGTGAATTTGACCAGTATGGTTATCAATTCGAGCAAGCGAAAAGCTCGATTATGAGTCGTAATAGAATCGCGCGCCAACGTGCCAGGCATCGACATCAGCAATACGTTGTGTGGGGCGAAAGGGTTAGGTCCCTGAGATTAAAAGGAAGTCATGTCCCCTTCTCTCTTCTTCTTCCGTCTCTTCATCAATCACAATTATATCCTCTCTTCCCTACTATCGTTCATAATTACTGCTCGTGACTTGATCACAGCTCACGTTGTGTTCACCACACTTTACATTGAGCTAGAAAACTTGTCATATATCATAATTATAATAAAAATAAGTACATAATAATAGCAGTGATTTAAATGATGATGATTCAATGACGATTTATCTGATTGTCGTTGATCAGCTTAATATTTCATTAGAAACAAAATAGTCGACAGTAAGAATTAGTTCTCCTACGTGAGTTTTTCTTTGTTTGAATAAGAAGTACTCCATGTTCAAGCGACTTAAAGTCGAACAAGAAGAAGTCGAGAAAGCCCAGGAAATACAAGAGGTCGAAGTGAACGCGCTCGCGCACAAGAGTACTCGAAAATTCACTCTTAGCAAGAGTAGAACGCACAAGTCCTTCATCCTTCGTTCTCGACTTGCTCGCGGCATAGCACTTGCAGGATGTAATTGTGCCTATACAGGTATATATAGACTGCATAACAGGCCAGAGCCTATTAGCACGAACAGAGCGCAAAATATCCCAGGACTCAAGTTGCGTGGGGTGCGCGTACGCATATAATGGAAACCCTTCAAGCTGCTCTTCCACTCCCTTGTCCACCAAGTCACCCATATAAGCAAACTTCGCCCCCTGCACGTGCAACAATTCTTGTACCTTTCGATGGTATGTGTGTACATACATTTACATATATATGTATGTATGGGTGCATATACTCTTTCTCTTACATAACATATGTATAGTAAATGATGGTGTACGTGTTTGTCTTCGTATGTGCTCAGAAATCTACCCCTTCGGCAGGTGGGGGAGGTTGACTCCATGTGAATGCAACAAGCACCAACACAAGTGTATGCACATCATCATATCAATGCTAGTTGCATCAGTGTGTTAGTAAATCAGGTATAAGTACTCACGCATTTTATTTGCTAAAGAACGCGTGTAATCTCGACCAGCGGTATATCCATTTCTATTTTTTTTACTCCTCCACATTTACTTTTTTTCTCATCAAGCTCTGACGGCCCTGTTTTCACTTCACTTGTTCTACTCCTGCCAGGTATATCTTGGAGTCATCTTCAATTATCTTAACAATTTTTTATTTTCTGTTTCTTGTCGAGTATTAGTCGCGTCCTATTTTCAACCCTTTGATGATGCTCATTGGTTTGTTCACCTCGTTCTGCTCCTTTGCAAATCCCTCTTTCTTGCGTTCTCGTGTAGGGATAAAAAAGATTGTGCGAGTGAAGTGCTACTACTGCACTGTGCGGTTCTTGGAGTGCGCGCACGGTGGAAACAAGGGTCGCCAAAGTACGTCACAGAAAAATTGCGGCAAAGGTGACCGATGCGTAATAAATGAAGGGCCGTCCGTGTTGTTGGGGTGTTTTCTCCACTGACAGCATGTCAGTTTGTCTCATACGTGTGTCATAGTATCCTCCTTTTCTTCGGGGTAAATTTTATCGTTCACCGAGTTTTTCCATGTGAAAAAATTTAACCCGATTTTTTGCACCAATCATATTCTATTTTTATTTGTCGTTGCAGTACACCGTTTTATTATTTATACCGCTTTGTATGGAATTGGGTTGATAATGTAAAGGTTTATATCTTTACAGTATACTTATTATTAATCAATTTATTTTTATTTTCATTATTGACACTAATTAACATTTTATTATAAATAACTATTTTCTAAAAGTTTACCATTCATTTTTTTCAATAGCTTCAATTTTAACCCTTTCTGAAGTTTCTCCTGTTTAATTAAATCAAAATATTTTCTTTAACTTTAGAAATTTATCGCTTTCACCACCAGAATTTGATCGGTTGCATAAGCAAACGTTGAATGAAGAACACAAATGGAACAAAAATATTTTTCCAATCTTTTTTATTTTAATATCTAATTAGAATTAAATGTTTAAAAATTATAATCACATAAAAATTAATAATAAAAAGCATTAATAATTAAATTCAATTCTACATAATAATATTTAAAATAACTAATAATAAATAAAATTTAAAAAACAAATAGACTAAAATTAAACATCACCATTATTGTTGTTAAATTAACATAAATAAACAAATGATTTAAATTCTTTATCAAGAGGAGCAATTATTATTATTTCAATTTGTGACAAGAGGAGCAATGTGCATGAAGAATCACCGTCGACATCTAGCGTTTCATTGATCAATCACAAAATAATATTTTTTCTCAAATCTTTGATCTCTACTCTAACACACAGTTTGACATAAACGATTCGATTTATCTCTATAAGCTTGTCCTGCATTTCTATTATACCCATTGAGAAAAAGAGAAAAAAAAATCAACTGAATAGGAAAAATATGATTAATGATAATTCATTTCTCATCTTCTCAATATGAGGGGTTCTTATACTACACGAATTGCAACAACTCTTTCTACATGGGAACCGTTGAGTCAGCAATATTTGATAAAAACATCAACACGATAAAAATTAACAATAGAATGACCAGTAAAAATAATTTGAGCCAGTACAAGAACAACCGGTTTTGTGTCATCGTTTATGCATTATTCATCTTCCGCTCTACACCTTTCTCTTTAGCCAACAATCGACGAGTCATTGCACTGTCAGACCTTAATACAATATCTTTACAAGAATTATTGAGACTATGTAAACGACCGGAAGTATCCTCTACAAGCTGGAGAATAATTTAATAAATAAAAAAAAAATCAAATGTAGAATATTCTACTTAGAAGTACATTTTATCCAGACTAATTTTCTTCTTCCGGCTCTGGACTCTAGAAGTTCGGCAATATTTGACAGGTACATCCGTGCGGAAACCAAAAGACATCAGTATAAAGACGATCTCCACTCCCTTCTAATGCTACTAATCTTTTTTGTACATATTGCTGCTCACATCTACTCGTATATCCTTCTGGTATGCTGCATATACCATCACACTGTGTCACTCTGAAATTAATAGAATTATGTATTTTCAGATATGCTTCCTTTTATCAATTTGCTTTTGAATAAAATAAAATAATCAATTGATTAATAGATGAATCCTCTTTTGGATATCCTTTTATTTCTTAAATTAAGAAATGAATTATTTTTTTATAATGAACATCTCTTTTTTATTTACTCCAAAAGAAGCAATATATTGACAGTAAAAAATTATTTAACTTATTATTGAAAAACTTGAATTGAAATTTTATCAAATGTCCTATCTTTTAATGGTCTTTGAGCTGTTCTCGTATTTCTGCTTATCATGGTACACTATATTATATCTCATCCCTTTTTTTTAAGCCGAATGAATTTAATTTTTTTTTCTATTATTAAAAAAAGGGGGATGTAAAAAAAAATGTTTTTAATTGATTGATTAAAATTTTGTGGAAGTATACTTACGCACAAACTTCAGTTCTAACTAACTGAGAATAATTTTCATTGGTTTCAGGGAGATTTACAACATACATCCAATTTCCTCTGTTATTGAGAGCTGCTTTTGGCGTCAGATATTTAGAATTAGTTTTACAAAGAGAAATAGCTTCGGGACTTGCTTGTCTTTTTCTTAAATTTCTCTTTTGGAATTCGAGAAGTGGATTCTCCCGACGAGTTCGCGGGGGTGGACCTGCGCTACTACGATGAATGGACCTACAACAAGTATTAAATAAATTTAAAAAAAAAAAGAAGGTAAGAATATTTTATTCCTCAATTTTTTATGTGCAAAAAAAAACTAGAATAAATTATCTCAACGATTAATCATCACTTTCACATTAAATTGAATCACAGATAAAAATGGAAAATATTTGCAAGAAAAAATGGCAAAAAATTTATTTCGATAAAAACAATATTCTTGATGGATGTTAAATAATTAAAAACAAAAAAAGTAATTGAAGTAGTAGTAGTTACAATACAAATGGCTGATATAAATCAATTAATTGATCATTACCTCGTCGCCCACCAGGTTGGAGCACGATGATTTATTTGATGAACCTGTAGAGTACTTGACTCGGTCTGATAAGTTGGAATAGCATCTGGCAGAAATGGATTTCTCTGATGTGTTTCTGATGGAAGTGAATACGTATACCTACATCGAATAATTAATATTAAAACTAAAATATCACTCATCATCATTCAAGGTTCTTTTTTATTCGTAAAAATAACAAGAGATAATTTACCCTCGTTCAGTAGTGTTGGACGATGGATAAGGTGCAAGTGGTTGACTAGTAAACGGATAGTGTGGTGGTAAAAAAGTAACAGGTTGCTGAAAAGAATGTGGCACTTGCGGTCTTGGATAATTATAACCATTAGTATAATCAGGTCTTGTTGTAACAGCATTGAAATCATATTGGGCTTCATCCCTCAGTATGGTTGCAAAATTATAGCTGCACTTGTCAACCAGGTATTTTATTAACTGCCTGAAATGACAGAAGTAAAATAATTATTTCATTGGAATCAATTCTCAATAAATGAATTTTTTTTTATAAAGTTAAATTATAGAAAAATATTTTAATAATTGGTAAAGTCAATCAAGTAAATTATTGGCAAACTAGTAAGAGTTTGTAAAAGTTTCTGTTAACAACTGAGAATACAAAGTTTAGGATAAACATTAGATTGCTAATAACATTAGAAAAGTTTGTCCAAGAAGTTTGAGAGAGAAAAAATAAAGAGGTGAAGCCGATAGAGTAGATAAGTGAATGGACAAATAGCTGTAAAATTAAAAAGTTGGCTATTTTGAATAAATAAAAAAAAATATTATCAAGTTCTATGCATGTGTGATGTGCTTGTTCCTAGGTTTTTAAACTTTCTCCAGATTCACGAGACACTGTCAAAAGGTGTCTGTATGTTTAATTCATAACCCACGCCTGTTTTCTAATTCGCGCAACCGTTATTCAAGAGTTTGTGCCTGTCTTCCAACATCATTCTAATGTATCCATTATGTCTTTTTCTTTTTGTGTTCTATTAAATTTTTTTTTTTTTTTTTCGACATTCATTCAAATTTACGTGGCGTTTCTAATAGCAACTTGTTTGGCAGTCTTACGTATACCTGACCCCCATTGTCATCTTCATATCGGGCCCTTCCCGCCGTTTTATTGTCAGCAACAAAAAGTGAATTTTACAGAAGAAGATTTTTTTTTACGTGTTTTTTTTTTCATTGTCTATTATTGTTGCTCAGTGCAAAATTTCAGCCGGGTGTAGATCATAGAAAAAAATACACAAAAAAATCTTTGAAGAATTTATTTTATTATTTCGTAGAAAATTATTTATAAATAAACAATTATGTCTTTATAATTTTCATTTTAATTTTATTAACATTGATAACAATAAGAGAACAAGAAAAAATTGTTTTGAACAACTGGATCATTCGATAAGTTTTGAAAGATTGAAAAAGTGAATGAATAGAAATGAAAAGTATATCTTATTTGGTTCTATTGAGGGCATTTAAAAATTTCTGTGAAATTTATAAGAATTGTAGTCGAGTATTTTCCGCGAAATAATCTAGGTCACTGAACGAAAAAACCAAGTCTAGACATTAATAAAGGATTAAATTCTTTTCAAATTTTCCACGAATTTATGTAGGCCACGAAACGGAAAAGAAACTTCGAAACAATAATAGAGGATTAAGGTAATAAATCTGTCATGATAGCATCGCCACTCTAGCATTTCACGTGAAAAATGTCTCTTTAAAATTCTAAGCACTACTCATTGTCGAATATTAGTTCGATATATATTCACCTGAATAAACGTATTTATCGCTATAAACGGAGCATTTTTAAAATATCAAAATTAAATCTATCAAATAAAAATGGGCTTATGAATATTTATTTAGTATTGATAATTTATTTGAATAATTAATTCAATAACAATTGAAAAAAGAGAAATAATCATGTCTAAAACCATTCACAAAACTATTTAAACATAATTTAGAGCAAAAACATTTTTTATTCGACAAAATAATGAAGGAATCTAATTTCAGGGTGAGATGGCCACAAAGTAGATTGAATTTTTATTAAACCTAAAAAATGTTATCCTTAAAAAAAAATTTAATTAAATAAATATTTCTCACGATATTTTATTTATGTTGAACTTTCTTAACTCAGTAAAGAATGTATCCTTCAAACAAAAATTCTGTTTCTGATCTTCCGGATATATTGGATCCAAATACCATCACCATTAACCAACTTTGAAATACTCAACTTGAGCATTTAGTTTACAAAAAATAAAACGTCTTTGATTCAGATCCATGATTGAAATCCTTTATACACCCACTGATCACAGTGAATAAAATTGAATATGTGAAATTTAACGAAGTTAAAAAAAGTAATTTAGTCTTACTGTGGATAATGATCAAGAGTTTCGCAGAAAGTTTGTCCAGGCTTGGCGCATCGAGGCGTACGGCCTGGTGGTGCAGGAACGAAGGGCTCGTAATGAGGTTGATAGGGACATCCATAAGAGCCACAGGGTTGCTGCCAACTACCCCTCGCGACATTCACCAAGAGTACCTGCCAGAGAAAAGATGCTCGTAATGCGCTCAACTAAGCAGAAATGCCGAGTAACGCGACTGGAGATCATTACAGTCCTTGTAACTATACTAAATTAAAGACTTTCGTCTCAATAATTTGTATACCGAATTACTATCATTACCGACCAAACTAGTAAGGCTAGTGATTAATCATCATTGATCAGATTTACTTGCTTGGCCCATATATACATCATCTAACTAATCTTCAAACAGTCTGCATCTCATTCAGAGCAATTTAAAACCTTCTCATATAATAATCATTAATTGAATATGTATTGATTGAATTAATTGAATAACCATCAATAATCGTCTTTTTTAAAGTCAAATTAAATATTAATTAATTCATTTGAATAAAAATTAATCATCAACTGATTAATAAATTTTTTTTGAATTTATAGTAATTCTTTATTCATTCATTGCGCGATTATTTCTTCACTCAGTATACCGTTAATTACTCCGGATTACGTTAATCAGACTAGCAGAAGTCTAATTATCTCCAATCAATTTAGTACCTTTCCATTAAATTCTTTGGCAAATAATTTACTGATTCTTTGACTCTTCAAACTTCAATTACTGCTAAAATTAGTGCATTCCCATATTGACAATAATTATTTAACAATAAATTTCTTTATCAAAGAATGTTCATAAAAAATAATTTCTTCATCTGACCGGAAATTTATTGTATGGTGAAATTGACTTTTTGTATGAAATAATTAATGTTACTTGAAATGGCTCAATTATAATTTAAAATTGCAATAATTTCTTGTTACTGCATATATTAAGACCCATACTCGATTGTTAAAATGAACCTATATGTTTAGATTATTAACATTTAATTGGTTTTATAAATTTTATAGATTGTATATCATGATGCAGACGTTACTCATGAGGTCAATTTTATTAAATAGAAATCATTGCATGTTAAAGCTTCATCAAGTAGAACTGTTATTATGTATGTTAGTTATTGCATACGCAAGTCCATACACTCTCACTTGAAGTCTTTTGTTTATTAAAAAAAAATTTAATAATTTTTTCTGCCACAAGCATCGATATCCTTGCGGCTTTGTGTTTAAATAATTAATATATCCCGTTGAATATAACAATTTCCAGCTTCTCTAAGAGCCTAACCATACACTTTCACGCGATTGCATTCATTTGAAATGCGTAACGCACACTTTATCAAGTCGACAGGTATCTCATTAATCATCTTCATAACTCTATTATTTCTTGAGCTGATTTTATAGTCTATTTTACCCTGATGTCCACACTTTTTGCTAGCTTATTTATTGCGTTTATAATTAACTTATTCTCTTACCAATAAAAATACCTGAAGCAATCTCATTATCGTATTTTTTTATAGTTTATAATTAATAAAATTAACACGCACAAACTATACGTTTATTTAACCACACGAGAACTATGTTAGTTTGTTACATTTATTACACTTATTCTCACAACTTGTCACGTGTTGTCGTGACCATAAGAAATAAAATAGATCAAGGATTTGCAATTTACATGTCACTATAAATGACTATCGTTTATGAGATGTTTGTAAAATATTTAGATTTTATTATTATACATTCAATTCATTTCACAGAAAAAAAAATTTCTAATCTTAATAAGAAATTCAAAAAAATTTGGCCTTTCTTCTTTAAAACATTACTCAACAATAAAATTTAAATGATTAACAGCGACAATTTTCATGAATTTAATGAGAAAAACACTTCAATAGGCACTCGAGAACAATCACAGCACTTCCGGCGTTGACAAAAATAATTATTTGTGATCATAAAAAAACGTGTGAACTAGACGTTGAAAAAAAAAAATTAATAAAACAATAGATTAGAAAAAAGATTTATTTTGTTTTTGCTCTTATTCTGTAGTTTAGAAAATTGTTCTAATGACTATAATATCATAACTAGTCATTTACACTTTAGAACCATTGTAACAGCTACGAAGTTGATTCCGAAACAATTCCCAGAGCTCGAGGTCGTGCTGAAAGCACGTGCTTCCGCGTTGGAGGTTCGAATGAAATTGATGATCGAATCCCTGGTAGTTATTACGATTCTATCGTAGAGACAAAACGTCACACACGAGAGGTGCATGAGTTTAAATCGCACGAGCTCAGCGAAGAACTGACGAACATATACTTTCACTGGTATAAAAGCTTGTCTGGTCATACAAAGACGTGAGGCTCCAGTTTTTTGTGGCCCAAGGCTTTTGGATTAATGATGAGGAAGTGAGTCACCTTCCTTAATTTCACTTTTGACTTTGATTTTTTTAGCAAACAGTTTCAATACCAATGATCCAGTAGCCATGCTGTTGGAAATACATTGTATGCATTTATTGTGCTTCAATGAGATTTATAACGTCCTGGTAGCTTGGCGAGACTTGTGAACATATAGAAATTACTGTTGCTTCGAGATTATCGGGTTCCATGTCTCTGTATGCGTGACAGCTGTGTGCAACCACCCATTGTCAGATCTTGCATTGGATAGTATTGCAATGCACAACTGCCAAGGACTGATGTACTACGTATATACGTACATGTACGTGGTTGTTCTTGAGTGATAATTTGATGATTTTTTGATGGACAGTAATTAGAATGTGTCTCTTATGAATATGAATTATTGTGGAGTCAATTATAAAACAAAAATGTCGTCAGGAAATAATTTATCTTGTACAAGCAGTAAATTAACAAAAATGTTTTATGCATAAAAAGTTATGGAAATTAAATTATACAATATACTCAAGCTTGATAAGCTCTTGAATGCTATCAGAAATTTTTAATTGGTTGGAAAAAAAATTTATAATAATAATAATTTTGAATAGAATATGGATAGATTTGAAGAAGAATCAAGTAAATTTACATTTGATAAGATGAATTTTTGTGGTTAAGATTGATTTTAAGAAGCAAAAATTAATTAGAAAATTATTCAGTTGATTCATTGGTGACAGTATAATGAATTGGACAGTATTACAGAGATAAAGCTACAGGTGTAACATAATAGTTTTCCTGATGGTTTGTATACATTGAGTCTCTTTGGCATGGGATCAACATAATTTATCTCTCCAACGAGAACCTAGTACAATAATGCTATCTTTGAGCAATCTTCAGGAGTAGTATTCACATGATCTCTTCGTTGATTATCGGTAAATTAATTCCCACGGATTTTCCGATAGAAAAATTCGATGATTCATGCAGTATGATCTGATAATAAGGACAAATTAAATCACATTTTATGCAGATATTAATCTATCTTCAAAATTTTTTCATGAGTCATTTAAAAATTTTTTTATCATAAATAATAACATCAATATACTTAATAAGTAACTAGAAATTTTATTTCTACAAATAAAAAATTTATTCATTCGCAAGCAATATTAATTATTCATGAAATAATTTAACAAAATACAAATGTACCTCGTAACATACATTATAATTAAATCTTTACTTGAAAAAGATTTATTGATTCTCCAGTAATGATTTTTTCAATGTCAACACTGTACAGTTTAGAATAAATTTCAGTCAAGATCTGCCTTCGTTTAAATAAGGGTTCAACAGCCAAAATCTTGATTTTCTCGAAATTAAAATAATGAAAATAACAGAATGCATGCTCTGTTAAAGCAGTCGCCAAGTGTTTCAAATGAGGGTTATTTAAACTAGTCCTGTGTTTCTGTACACATATTCCTAGCTGATATTTTGTATGACCAATGTATACAAATTTACATTCACAACACGGAATACTATATACTACGTGAGAAATATCCATGACTGATAATGAATCTTTGTGACCTGTAAACATCCATGAGAGATTATTGCAGTTGCTAAATGTGACGTGAATATTGAACTTTTTTAACACAAATTTCAGATGTTCGGAAAGTTTCGAAACATAAGGCAAACTGAAAGTGCTCTTGATGCCTTTCATATCATTTAAGTTGGTAAAAAAACCATTATTGTTATTCTCATCAACGACCTGCGTATGTTTATACAATAATAATGGCACCCTATACTGAATCTGGTCTTTCACTAACTTTTTTGGATATCCATTGTTGAACAATGATTCTCGAATAATTCCTAGGTTTTTATTTCGAAATCGTGGATCACATAACAGCACTGCTTTGTCAATTAAAAGTTTGATGATACCAAGTTTTTGGTACTTTGGATGATGAGAATAGTAGTTTAAATATCGTCCTGTAGCTGTAGGTTTCTGATACCAGTCAAATTCAATTTTATTTGAAGATCTAATTAAAGTCAATTCCAAGAAATTGATCTTCTTGTCCACTTCTCTTTCTATTGTAAATTTCAACCGATCATGATACTTATTAAATATATCAAGAATCTTTTCAACTTCATTTGGCGGAAGAAATACTAAGATATCATCAACGTATCTTGTATAAAAATAAACTGGAAAGTCCAGTTCGCTCAAACAAAAATTTTCTAAATCTTGCATTACTATCTCTGCAACTATTGGTGAAAGAGGTGAACCCATAGCAGCTCCATAAACTTGTTGATAGAATTCTCCATTGAATACAAATGCTGATGAGTTGAAGCATAATTTAATTGCCTCTATAAACTGTTTCATTGGAATTCCTGTATGATGTTTAATTATATTCCATCGGCTTTCGATACCTTTTACCACCAATTTTAATGGAATGTTTGTAAATAAAGATACGACATCCATTGAAATCATTACAAATTCTTCTGGAAGTTGCAATTGACGAATATTCTCCATGAGTGATCTACTGTTTTTGATAAATATTTTTGAGCCACGTGGTTGATTGAATTCAAGATTTAAACTTCTATTTAATATTTGTTGTAAATATTTAGCCAGTCTGTATGTCGGTGAGTTGATAAAAGATACTATTATTCTGAATGGTATGTCTGGTTTGTGAATTTTTGGTAAGCCATAAGCACGTGCAATACTTCCATTCATTCCGGAGAGATGATGCTTTGTGGCTTCGTCAATGAAAGCATCCTCATTCCAATTTTTGAGTAATTGATAAACTTCATATTTGAGTATTTTTGTTGGATTGTACTTTAAAATTTTGTATGTCTTTTCATCTTTTAGATTACTCATCATTTTATCAAGGTAAAAATTTTTTGTTACTATTACTGTCGTGTTACCTTTGTCAGCTTTCAGAAAAATTATGTCTTTATTTTTTTTCATAAACCTTTTAGCTACTCTGAGCTTATATCTGAGTACATTATCATCCAATTGTCTCCTTTTTTGTAAGTAATTATTTATTGCATGCATGTAACTAGATCTTGTTTTGATTTTTTCCTCTTCTTCCATATTTGTTACTTCCAATTCGATAGCAGCAATGATTTGAGCCAATGGGATTTCATTGGTCTTCATATATGGCACTCCAAATTTTTTTCCCAAGCGTGCAATATGCAAAACATGATTAGGGATATATCTTTCAGATAAATTTATAATCCACTTATCTTTTGGTACACATTTAAATATACAATTATCCATCCTTCTCGGATTGGAATTTCACACTTTTTTATAACATATTCAAAACAATTTTTCGATTAAAATTTATGTAAATTAAAAATTATTCTCACAATAAATAAACAAAAACACTTCACAGAATTTAACTTGTCATATTAATTCCATGACTTATCGGAGTAATGAAACTGATTTATTAACAACAGCAAAGCCACAATTTGTGTTGACATCTTAATATTCAAATAATAGCAGTAGTATTATAAACCTTTAACTAGTCATTGCAGGAAATAAAATAACTATGAGTCACTGCATAATTAAGAAATTTCGAATATCAAATTAATTTGTAAGCCTTGTCTTATGTATATTAGAATATGAAAAAAATAATGATGTAGAAAAAAATTTAGTTTAATTTATTTATTAATTTCATATCGAGGAATATATTAATACATGATTGAGTTATTAGCTACAAATAGTATTTATTGAAGGCATGTGTTCTTAAAAATGAAATCTTATTTTACAATGAATTAAATAACAATATTACATTTTATTGCTAAATTAATGTGTGTTATTAATACAGCTGAGATTGAGAAATAATTGAAAAGTTTTCATGTAAAATTTGCGATATTTCCGATCATTCGGAAAAATACATAATAAAATAATTCGACAACTTATTGGGAAACCCTCTACCATGAATTAATAAAAAAAAACCACATCATGGTAATCAATCAGTAAACAGTTAAATAAAGTAAGTGCTATTTGACGAATATGATTATAAAGTAATGTTTATCTTGATAAAAATATCGATTTCTAAAGAAAAAAAGAAAATAAATGGAAGAAGTTAATTCGTAATTTGTTCTACTATAAAAATTTTAACTTAATATAATGAGCTAATTTTTTACTCATCAATTCATTATGAAAATATCATTAAGAATTTAAATTTTATCTTCAGAATTTTCTGATTATTTATAATCCATCATCAGTCTGATAAAATTATTCCCGATTGAAAGGAAGATCTCAGATCTCTTGAAATTTAGTTCAACATCGGGATTGAACTGAAAAAAAGAAACGTGAATTATTTTTGATACATGATTTTTAAAAAAATATTTTTTGAATACTCACTTGCAACATGTTTTTAAAAAATTTTTACATCTGAGGTAGATCTTCAATAGACGTTGAAAATTCGAAATCTTCTGGGAAAAGTTTAGCTGCGTGTGGGTACATAAGTTTGTACGATTGCCTGATTGTCACATCAGCAACTCCAGCAATATCACCAATTTCTTTTTGTGATTTTTTATCATCTGAAGCTTGCGACGCCATATAAATTGCAGCAGCAGTAACAGAAATTGGCGATCTTCCAGGTACAATATCTATTTCTACAGCCTTTCTTGCAATATGAGTAGCAGCTCTTTGTACCATATTGGGTAGACCCAAATTAGAACAAAATCTCGACATAAAATCGCCAGTTGTGATAAGCTCCACACTCGTTTCTAGAGCTTTGAGAATTAATTTAAAACACCTGCCTATTTCTTTTTTGCTAATTTTACTGACAGCACAAATTTCTTTGAATGTTCGTGGAACTCCTTCTTGACGACAAGCAATATATAGACAAGCTGATGCAATGGCATCATTAGAACGACCTTTAAGGTTCTTTCCATCATGTACTTGTTTAAATAAAAGATTCGCACGATCAATAATTGTTCGTGACATATTAATACGATCAGCCATATCATTAATTTCTCGAAATGCATTCGTTAAAGCTCTGTCTGAACTGCTCATCTGCACAAAATAATTACATTTTTTAATAATTTTTTCTCAATACTATTTTGACCATTATATGAATAATTAATAATTAAACTATACTAACTGTGCGCCTATTTTGATATTTTGGTGCACCGAAGGAATCATACGAAGCAGCACCAGTTGCTGGACCAATTATGGTTGACAAATTAGAGCCACTAAGTAAAGGATTCTCGGGACCACCAACACGAGAGGGATCGACTCCAGATTTTTCGTTGTTGAATGTTCTCCATTCTGAACCAACATCAATTACTCTGTTGAAAGGAAACAGTATGAAAATATTCCATTATTCAGTAAATATTTTTCTATTGTTCAAATATAGCAAAAGTCGTTTATTTTATATCTTTTTTAATAAAATGGGTGATTCATCGAAAAAAAATAAATATATTAAAACAGGTTTCTATTCTAACATAATTGTCTTTGACATGTTTATCACTCGTGACGTAAACCATACAATTAAATATAACTTGATAAAATTTTCAAGTCGAAGATAACGGTTTATATGCAGGATACATTCTGATGGATTTGTTTTTTTTTTATATAATTGATTATGTTGCTAAATATAATCAAGTTACGTCAAATGAATCAAAGTTATCATAATACCATTATTTTGAAATTTATTTTTTTTTCTATTAACGATATCAATGTTGAATCAAAGTTAATTAAAATAAATAACACTTGATAAAAAGATTATTTGTAATAATATCAAAATTGATACTAAACATAATTTGTAACCAAGGATAATCTAGTCGTAAACCAACAAGGACTCAATAATCTTCTCTATTTAAAATTAATAATAAAATGGAATATTAATTGTTAACTTTACCTTTCGCCAACAACTAGACCACATTCTGAACATATTTGATCACCTGCTCTGTAATCTTCTATGAGTGGAGCATCTGGATGTGAATAACAGCATATTTTATTATGCGATTGCCTGAAAAGTGAAATTTTTTCAGAAAATTTATGAAAACAGGTAACAATGTATACTAAACACAAAGGTTTCTGTTGAACTATATTTTTAAGTTTACATTATTTAAATGGTATATTTTTTTTTACTCCTCGTAAGATATACATAACTATTCAAATTATTCACTAAATTTTTATATTAAATTTGCATCAATAATAAATTAACGAATGATAACAAATGACCCAAAGGTGGGTCAAAAGAATCATAACCTCAAAAATCGAGTTTCTTTTTATTTCTTGAGTTACGTTAAAAAATATCAACATGTAAATTTATGTAAATAGTTCAAATAATGTAAAGTTTCATTTAATTAAAAAAAGTTTATATTTACCTTGAAGAACTAGCCATACTTTGTGAATTGTCAATTTGTCACTAAAGTATGTGTGCTCTATCAATTAGTTTACTGGGTAATGAATATACATGATAGCAGAGAATACTGTCTTACCTAGAAGCCCAAAAGTAGTTTTTTCGTGTCGCCAGGATTCTTAGTTAGTTTTCTGATCACAAGATGTCTGTAGTGTACAATTTTCTAATTTGTACTCTGGCACCCAGTTGGCGCTACTATAAATAAAAGGCAACAGTCAATATAAACGGTAGCAGTCGTTGACCAACCATCGACGAACGTATTTAGAGTAAAGATAAAAACAAATGATTCTCAAAATTTTGATAATCTATAAATATAAATATCCTATGTATGAATGTATTAGATCTGTAATAAAAGTGCTAGGTATTATCAATGCTAGGTAATAAAAACCAATACCGATAGATGATAACAAAATTTTCGTAACAGTGATAGTACCGACTGTAAATTTGGTCGACAAATTCAAAACAAATAATTTAAAACTCGTCCAAGAAATTACAATTATTTATTAATATTGATCACTAGTTGAAGCTAAAGACTGGGAAAATTAAATCACGTAGATTTAATTAGGTTATATCATCTCTCCGATCTATCACAATTTATATTTATATGGATGAAAATTAAAATTATCAAGATAAATTATTATTTTATATTATAATTAATAAATGAACTTTCAACTTCTATCTGTAATTATATCAAAAGGAGTCTTGTTTTTGTAAAGCTTTATTAATATACATTTGCAATCAGTTTTAAATAATTCTACATCATTTTTATTTTAAATTTTCTTTCAACCCTGACATCACAAATGCCCTGATTAACTATTAATTAAAATGATATACTTCACATAATTTTCAACCAAGTATAAATCTTTTGAATTTAAAGTCACATTCCAAAACATTGTGTAAGTATTTTTTTCTATTCAGAGAAAAATGATTGCACAATAATTCGATGCAAACGTAATAAGAATGCATCAAATATTTTAATTGACACGAATTCTACACTAATCGATACTCTGTTACCTGTATTATTGTTCAATTTATTTAAAAAAGTACCCTGATGAATATTTATGTTAAAAAATAATTACAAAGTATTGATCAAAGAAAATTTATAATTGGACATACCATAAATATGCACACAAGTCGCAAAGTCACGCTAGTATAATATTTAAAAATGATAATTGATGAGTTCTTTTTTTATAATACAATAAGTGACATGCAATAATTTTAATAATTAAAATTAATATTTTATCTTAGATTATAAAGACTACAATTAATTAAATTTTTTTTTTTACATGTATCTTCAAATAATTAATAATTAATTCTATAAGTAATAAGAAATCAGTAACAAACTGTGCAATATTTATAAACATTGATATCTACGATCATGACATTGATTCTAGAGAATTAATTTCTGATAATTCAGAGAATTAAGTATACTATAAAAACAATAAACAATTCTATGTAATCTGTATAGAAATTATGAATTTTTGTAATTTACATTTTTATTTAACACTAAAAGTTCTTGATGTTCATGAAAGAAAATATCTTTAGAATGATTATTAATATCAAATTTTTACGTCTGGGATTAAATTTTAACGCGTGCATGAAAAGAAGCAGCATTTGATAACTAATATAACAACATATTCAAACGTGTGCGGATAATTAACGATAATACAAACATGCAATTTTTACACTTGTCTGATACACTTCTCTACAGTATTCCGGATATAACTGGTTTATTCTCATCCAAATTTTTTACCAGTCTGGCTATTATCATTTATCACCGAATGATTTATTGTTCGCGCGTGCCAGAACATATGGGAACTTTGCTCTCACAATCAATAGTTTCATTAATAGTCTTATTACAAAGTATACAATTTGACTTGCTGATAATTATTTTAAAGAATACACTATTTATTATAACATCAATTACGATGCATTTCATTTTTTTTCTATATTTGTTTATTCAATAATTCTGCAAACCCAGTTTGATCACGCGTGTAATGATGACAGCTCTATTGGTGTAAGTGGAAGAATTGTTGCTAAATATTCGCATTAATTTCATTATTATCTTGGTGCACCAAAGACTCAAAAAAATTTGATTGCGATGTGTTCCGGGGTCAATATGTCGCTCGCAGTTGGTTTCTATTGATTGTTTCGGGTCATAAAAGTCTACTGAGAAAAGTGGATATGTATAAGAATTTATGATTGGCGTTATATTATAAGAAGGAGGAATCAATAAGAAAGTCATAACACTTCTCAGTTTCTCTTAAAGCAGTACAAATAATTATTACTTCCGTGAATAATTTTTTTGCTTATTAAATTAATTTTTAATTAATTCTGTTTCACTCAATTATTAATATTTGATTGAATCTAGAAAAATATTTCCAATATTTACATTTAATTATTATTGCTTTAATTATTGGTATTCAGTAATTTAATAAATTTTAATTGAAAAAATAAATTGTAATTAAATATTTCTGAATAACTTGTGTAAAAATGAGTCGATTTGGAGCACTAGGAGATGATTCTCTGTCTATTATGAGCAAAAATACCAGTCTAAATGGCATTAACCCTCGTTGGGTGAACAAAAACTACAATAGAAAGCGCGGGTTGTATAATAGAATCGAAAACCGGGATTTAGAGATGGAGAAATGGGACGGAATTCGACCAAACCCAATATCCGGTCACGATAATCGAAGGTAAACAAAGAATAATAACATCAAATTTTTTTATCTTTGACAATAAAAATTAATCGATTTCACAAATGAAATAAAAATATTATTGGACTTTCTACAATGTATTTTTATTTGAATTTTTTCAGTGAAGAATATGAAATTGGTGCGTACGGTTATGGTAAAAATAACATCAAATTATTATACGTAAAACGAGAAGACGCATATCGGCATGAGATACGAGAGTACGAAGTTGATACACATCTTCGTCTAAACTCACAGAAGGATTACCTTGAGGGTGACAACCGTGATATTATTGCAACAGACAGTCAGAAGAATACAGTTTATCTGCTTGCTAAAAAATACGGGATTAAATCTCCGGAGGAGTTTGGAATACTCTTGTGTGCTCATTTTCTCTATACTTACAAACATATAGAGGAAGTGCACGTCAACATTGAAGAATATCCGTGGGTGCGGCATCAAGTTGATGGTGTACCTCACAATCATGCTTTTATCTTCAATCCTTCCACTATTAGATATTGTCAAGTGACGCAATTACGTAATGGTGAGTTTAAAATTACCTTCTTTATTTCGTTTGAAGTGAAAATGATTTTTATTTAACAACTGATAAGAAGTTTAAGTAGGTCTTGGGAGATAGTGAATGGCTAAGATTTCACTTTTACATTGATTATAGAATCTCCAAGAATCCGAGGAGGCTTGAAAGACCTGAGAGTTTTGAAAACAACACAAAGTTCATTCACGGATTTCATTCAAGATGAATACAGAACATTGCCGGATGCAAACGATCGTATATTCAGTACTATTATCACTGCATCATGGGACTTTTCCACAGCAAAAGGTGTTGACTTTGATAAAGTTTGGAATACAGTTCGTGATTGTATTCTTCAAAAGTTTGCGGGGCCACCGTCAAAAGGCATTTCATCACCGAGTGTACAGAATACACTTTATCTAGCTGAGAGGTGCGTGCTGGATAGAGTTGACCAGGTAAACATCTGAAATTTCACTTGAAGGAAATAAAAGTGAAGTGAATGAGTACTTAAATAGTTAACAACTCATTACATCATTGTTTTAAAATTCTAAAGAATATATTAAAGAAGGTTTTTCTATGAAATTTTGACAGATTTACAGTATCGAGATGCGAATGCCAAATAAACACTATTTCGACCTCGACTTAAGTAAATTTCCTAAACTTGTTGAGGGAGAAAATAAAGAGGTTTACTTGCCTGTTGACAAGCCTTCGGGAATTATTTATGCGCAACTGAACAGAAAAGACATATCTCCGAGGTTGTAGAGCTAAAAGGCGGAACAAAGCGAGTGAAACACGTATCCGGAATTGAAGAAAATAAGGGGACTCAACGAGAAGTAGGTTCTCTACACGTAATTGTTAGCCAACATGTGTCATACATAAATTATTTTTATTCATAATCTTTTTTGATGAATTGAAGAAAATTTATCGTAAATTCTTTTGTATTTAAACAAAAAAAAGACCCAGTGTAATTGTAAAAAAAACGTTTAGATTAATTGCACAGTATTGTAATGTAATTGCTAATTATATTTGTAAATAAAATGATGTTTTTTGAAAAAAAGATGATTCAGTTCTTTTTTTAACAAATGTATGTTAGAATTACTCATAATCTCTATTCCATTTCTTTTATTATGACTACTTTCCGGTTCTTTAAGTCGACTTTGCCAAAATGACTTTTTTACTATAGATAAAAAATTATAGCACTTCTAAATATTAAAAATGATGTGGCATAAAAAAAATACTTTGAGGGAAAGTAATATTTTTTCCATAACTTTTACATTAATAAATGTTTAAAAACTATTTTTAAAAGTCAAAGGAATTTATTTCAGCTCTAAATCTGAGATGAATTGTTAATGAAAAGATAATTTACGCTTGAACAAAATTTTTACAAATAATTTGTCTGTTGCATACGTAATGACCTTCTGAACACTAGATTCATTATGTCCTAATTCTTCTATATTTTTTTACACCTGATTTCTACATACATCCTCTATGACACGCCTGTTTTTACATGACGATTCATCACTCTTTAAACACAACAGGCGCTCAGGTGAAACCTGGAAATATTTGACTGCCTCAAATACAAGATGTCATAAGAGTAACGTCTCTTGCATTTTCTTAATCAGTACTTTTTTTTCTGTGTTCGAGATCAGTCGCTCTAGACTTCTGTCATTGAAACACGATTAAAAATGTCTAAAGACTACAGTGTTCTTCATTTAATTTTACTTTTATTAACTTTTAAATGTGTATCAAGTGTAATAATTCAACCATCGAATTTAGAATCATTTGATTCTTGTGGAGGTGAATATTCTGGTTATCAATACAGCGTTACTAGCCCTGATTATCCAAAAAATTATACTGAATTTCAAGACTGCATTTATCTTCTCCGTGGAAGTCATTTAGCAAGTTGCAGTCAAGTGTTTCATCTCCAGTTTACAAATTTTTCTTTGCGATCATCTCCTAATTGTGAACAGGATTATTTAATAATTGGAGATTCCAATGTGTTATGTGGAGAGTTTACCGGAATAAAAACCTATCCGAGCAAAAATAATACATTGGCACTTAGATTTCATAGTGGAAAAGGTGGTTCGTATAAAGGATTCAAGATTTTAGTCACAACATTACCGTGTCCTGTTTCTACTGAAGCAGCAAAATCGATGGTCAACAATCGCAAACAATCTGGAATAATATATCCTTCTCATCGACCCGATGACATTTTCCCTGTTGACAATGACCACTCAACTGTAAAAAAAGAATTTCAATCGAAATCAAATTCTAACAATAACCAAGACCAGCTCAATCATCAACCAAATTTATTTCTAGATGATTTAAAACCTCCACTTCATCCGAATAAATTTGATAAAAATCAAACAACCATGACGAAAGTATCTGCATATTTTTTTGAAGATCCAGAGGATGAGAAGAAGAATGAAATTCCACAATTTCCAACTGATTTATCAATTCCAACACTAAAAGATGCCATTTCTGGAGCGCAAAATGCAAATAATTCATCTCTGGATGTAACATCAAGAATTGGAGATGATGGAATGGACTTTAGAAATAATCAGAAGTTAATCAGTCCTGAAAAGATATATGGAATTCCTCCAGGAAAACCTTATGCTCCCTTACCCAATTATAGTCCACAAGTTCATACTGGTGAAGTTCGTGAAAACGCATTCGTAGATTGCAATACAAAATCAAACGATGGTGTGTTTCCGAATAATTATCCTGGTGTTATACCACCATCTTTTCCTTCCCCAGCAGCTTTTCCACCCTCTTATGGTCCCCCTCCAAGATTTCCACCTCCTCCTCAACAACCTCCTGTTTATCCAATCGTTCCACAAGCTCCAATTTTACCACCCCATAATTTAATTCCATCGAATGCTGACAGTAACTTTCCTTTACGTCAGTGTTGTAATGCTCAGCACTCATCGCTCAGATTCCTGTTAAGTAACCCAGGTTTTCCGAGCCTATTTTACTCAGAAAAGCCGTATGACTGTGCTTACATCATCACTCCATATCCCAACGTTTGTCGACTACGCTTCACCTTTAAATATTTCAATTATGGACTCGATGAAGACTTCTGTGGGAATGGATATATTGAAGTTGATGGAAGAAGATACTGTGGATGCAAAACTGGTTTGTCTTTTGTGTCAAATGTGGTAGATTCTTATCCAAAAATTGTCAGAGTTAGATATCTAGGCTTTCCGAGAGTGAAGCACAATGGATTTCTCATTGAAGTCAATCAAGAGTCTTGTTTCAATAATAACAACAATAATAATTATCCATACTTATCAAGAAATAAAAAACAAATAATTAAAAAAGAAGTAGAAGTTTTTCAAATACCTAGAAATAAACGAAGTGATGATTGGAATGTTAATCGATTATTGAATGAAACACAAAGGGAAAAAAGAACTGCTGGTTATTTCTATCCAAAGCCAAATGTTGATTTTCCTACAGGAGTAGTAAATTTTGGTAATATTAATTCTGGTTTTATTCCACAAACAAGCTGTCAAGCAACAAATTTATTAAGTTGGGCTCATGCTAGCAAAGAGGTTTATTTAAGAGGAGGAAGGTGTCTTTCAAATAATTTAAATGGAGGATTTATACCCAACTACCCACCTGGAACCAATTATTATCCTGGAAATCAACGTCCTGGATATCTTCCTCCCAATGCAGGAAGACCTATTCCTCCAAACGTTGATACTGAATTAATTCCTTCACCAGGCTTACCTGGACTCCCAGGCGTTGGATATCCTGGTGCAGGAAATGCAATTCCGTTACCAAGTAATTGTCAATATGTGAGATTAAATGCAAGAGACGGAACTATTCCTTCACCTGGATATCCTAATTACTACCCACCAAATACTAACATTTGTTTTCGATTTATTCGAGCACCTGGTGCATGTAAATTGCATTTATCCATATTAGAATTCGACTTAGAAAATAGCCGAGGGTGTGGAAAGGATTTTCTATTCTTCATTAATCAGAATACTAAATATTGTGGGCGTACCATTGCAGGTAGCAAGAGTAAGTAGATAAATTTTTTGATTATTTATTGATTAACATAAAACGAAAATTAATGTCCATCATTTGTTTTGATAATTTTCTAGCATTGATCACATTTCCACCAACTGGTTTCATTGATATACAATTTGTGTCAGATGCTTTTGGAACAGGACGAGGATTTAACATAGTATTCTCTCAAATTTAAATTAGTTGAGATTAAAAAATTTTTTTTATATAATTATCATTATTTAATACAATTTTTTATAATTGAATACACATTTTTATATCATGTGAATATTTTTTATTTGAACTAACTATCAGACATACACAGTATAATTATAATACTAAATAGTAAATAATTTATAAAACTCATACATGATCATTTCTATACTAATAAATAATTTTTATAATAAAAATAATTATTATATAAAAAATAATTTTATTATTTAACTTAATTAAAACTTATTTCTTAATTTAATTTAATATTAATTACAGCATAGACGTTAATGTTGTAATGTGAAAAATGATGTTTTCAGTATTTTGATTATGAGCATTGGCACATATACATTGAAAAAAAATTACAATATTTATTCAATACATGATTGTCTGAATATTAGAAATTAATTAAATATAACTATCAGAGTCAAGTATAGAATATTAATTATAATTAACAGACTTATATAAACGGATAGACTAGGTTCTTAGATAAATTACGAAATAATTAAAAGAGTAATTTTCATTTTATAAAATCGACAATCACATAAGCGTTACAATAAATAAACTAAAATTAATTTATTCTGTTCTCTGGTGGAATTTTCTTCCACGTATTTATATATGACAAACAATTTATAACAGTGTGAAATGCTACAAAAATATACATTTGAGTAAATTCTGACCAATAAATTGTTGTATGTGTTGGTGTACTAACGCAAGAGATAACTTCTAATTCGAAAATTATTCTGATTTACACAAGCTTTGTTTGTCCCTTGAGCTGGAGTACACTTTCATTACTTTTTACGTCCAAGAAAACGGATGTTTGTAAAGACTGTACCAACAGGTCTACGACGTTTGCAGAAGTTCACAGTTCGTGATTTATTTCCTTGACGTACATCATGCAGAGCTACTAATAGCTGGAATACATCTTCTCGAGATGGAGTACAAACGTGCAGTGATTCATAGTCGAAGGAGTTTCTAGATCTGTAATAAAATTTCAAATTTTATCAAATAAATATTTTATAATGTCAGTAAGTCATTATTTATTTCATGAAATAACTTTCATTTTTGTATATTCAAAGGACGATAAAAATTCTTACCGATAATTTTGTCTTTTCCCTGGATATTGTCGGTAGTATCTCGACCTTTTTTCAAAAGGAATTTCCAGTTCATTCAAGCCTTCATCATCATCATCACCATCAGACTCGTCTAGTAGTGGATCTTCAACGACAACTAATGGATTTGCCCACGTCGGTTGATTCAGAAGTGATATCAACAAGTTTGAAAACTTTTTTATGTCCACATCATCTAATTCTTTCACTTGTAGATCGTCTAAAAGTAAAGAGAAAAATTTTTCCATTATTTTTATAGACAATTGTTTACTTCGAATAAAAACATCATCTCTACATTAACAGTTCAATTGATTTATTTCTTTTCGTTGAAAATACTCAAGCGTAGGCGTTAATTACGGAAGTGAGTTTATTAAAGTGAAACTAATTATCTACTACTTCATTGATTTGTTAATTTTCATCATCAACATTGATCCCAAGAAGTTGGCTGATTGCAAGTTCATTAATGAAAAATTTTTGTGAGAATAAAAATAATTGATATCAAGTTGATTTTTTTTCTATTTCGAGATAGTTTCAAAGGAAAGGATTCGAAAGTGTTGCAATTCTACGTCAGTGTAAGTCCTTGGAAACAATGAAAAAAAATTCAAATATATGTTAAAACAGTGACATTGAGAAGAGCACAAAGTTAAACATGGAATGTAAAGAGGACATATTCTAGCAGTGTCATGAAGAATTTCAGTTTTGGTCTTCGTTATTAAATTACATAAAAATTCGTCATTAATGTTGCAATTTAATTACAAAGCATAATTTTGTATATTACTTTCCTTTATCTTATTGCATACATTCATTTTTATTTAAATTTTTAGAGTTCTGGAAAATATTATTGTGTTGTGTAATCTAGATTTTTCTCATTTTAAAAACAAAAATTTAATTGAAGGTGTTGAAAAATAATTTTATCTGATTTTCTGTATGATTACCAATTTATAGAAATTTAAAAACAATGCATGATAATTAGAAAAATAAAAATATTGAAATAATGACTTACCAAAATCATTAAAAATTTCATCGTTTATTTCAGCCATGTCCACATCTTTAGGATCGAAATTAAAACCCATGTCATTCCACTTATGAGGTTCTTTTAAATTCGCACTCTGTTTTAGACGCATCGCTAATTCTTGTATATTCTGTAAACTTTTCTGACGATTAGCACTTTCAGGTGAGAAGAGAACGTCGCTTTGACGGCTAAGATCCACTGGTTCTGTTTTCGATACTACTACACATGACACTAGTAGAAACAACGACACGGACAGCCACATTTCTGTAATTATTATTTTTTCAATTAAATTTTGGACAAATAAATCAAATTAAAAATTCAGATGAATTGAAAGGACTAAAAAATTGAATAGAAAATGCGTTTAATAAGCCTTTCAAAATATTATGAAGTGAAAATAATGATAAAGATGGGCCATTCAAATAACCGTATCGGTTTTTAGCACCACCCCACAGAAACTTGTTGCTCTGAATCCCTAGCTTTTGTGACTGTTATCGAGTTTTCACCAACTGTTTCTCTGAGAATAATTGAAGGTCGAGGTATTTTTTAATATTGTTATACCATTGAAAATCAATTTATAATCGATCATTATTTGCCAGGGTTTTTGTTAATTAACGATTCACAATCACTTGTTATTAGAATAGTAAATTAATTTTTAATCTAGATATAAAATATTTCACAAAAAATTCATTCTTGAGTATCTTAATTATTTTCAATAAATTTTATCATTAAATATTTAATAAATGACTCTAAAAAAATACGTTAACAAGAAATGAAAATAAATGTCAAAGCTACCATTAAAAGTAATTCAATTGACTGATTGATAATAATGGGGGTAATATTATTAAAAAATTAATTACACAATAAGAAAATACAGTTATCTAGTTTTAAACAATATGCTTTCTTATGTGAAATAAAAAGTCCACTGATAAATGAAATAATTTTTTAAATGGAAAAGAAAGCGATTATTACTTTATTACTTTTGTCTCAAAAGTTTAAGGAATCACAAGCGAGCAGACAAAAAAGTAACCACTTGCGTTGCGATGCGTGGATATTCTGGAGTTCTATCAGCGCTGCGACGCCTATATATAGAGCGCCGAAGCTACCCCCTCATGGATCGTACAGACAACAGCGATAGATTCTCATACATGAATGAAGCTTTATATTTATTTCGATAAATTTTTGCAATAGTTATTTCAAGCAGAGTTCTTTGACATCTATGATTTTTTCATGATTCATATTTACGTGAATGATGTGCGAAAAATAACGGAATTTTTATTACAAACTTGATTGATACGAAATTCGACTAAGCTAAATAAATTACATATTCATCAATTTATTGAATGGAGGGAAATCTATTTTAATAATTCTCTATCTGGAAATAGAACGCTTTGTTTTTATTACATTAATTATTACATCAGTTCAATGTTTGATTGTTACAACAATTATCTTTTATTTTTAGCACAATAATTATATAGTCTAAAATTGGATTAAAAAGTACACCGAAATAATTTTAATTAAAACAAAATGAATTTTTGATTGTACAACAATTCTTTTAATTTTTTATTTTTAATGAGATCTTGTTGAGCTTTTCAATGAAACTCAATGTTAAGTTATTTCTAAGTATCATTTATTATTGAAAAAAAAAAATTCATTTTTCTTTCATCAATCTTCTCTCAACTCTAAATATTACTACTTGAATACAGCTTCTAATTTTTATTGTGTAAATTTGTTCTCAAAATATGCTTCACTTCCTATAGCAATTAGTTTCACAAATATTTTTAATTAAAATATTCCAGCAAGCAAAACTTGAATTAAAAAAAAATTGGCTGGTAAATTATAGGTTGGTAATTATTCATTAGTTTAAGACGTATTACCTGAAGCACGTATGGAGTTAGCTAAATTTCTCGGTAATTACGAAGTACGTCAACTTTCGTACTTCGAATACTAAAAGTTATTGTACCATTCATTATTGATGGAATGTAGCAATAATTGGAGAAATATCAACTTTATCAACCTACGTCTTACAGCTTATTTTAACACTTGAGTTATATTGGAGCTCACTTTAATTATTAATTCGACATTTATTATTCCTTTGACATCAAACTAATAACACTAATATTCTCTGAGAACAACTGCATTTATGTGTGACATGTTTGAATGAATTGATACATCAGTATCGAATTACCAAGATAAACACTGTACAATTACACATCTATTTGGTACCTGAAGAAACTCTTGTAATTATATTAACATACATTTCTCTCATGACAGATAACATTTAAAATAACAATGATATTCAATTATCACAGGTATTTTGATACAAAAGAATTCATCATAGGGGCTCTTAATTAATTAAATAGATTGTATACAAAATGTCAATACAGCTATTAGTGGACGTTTTGTGATTAACTATGACCCATTTTCATTTCCACTTTCATTCACGATCAAGTCAACAGGTGTGCATATGGATCTCAAGGGTTTAAAGTTCAGTGTGATATAAGTTGCATCAACTTTGTGATATTAAAGTCTTTTATTATTTAATAAACTTACTTTTTTAATCAAAAAATATTGTAAATAAATGTACCTAAGAATAGCTTCTAACATAGAAGGATTTTCATTACTTAAATAAATTGAAGAATATTAAAATATTTATTTTTTAAGTTTAGATAAGAATAATTGTGAATTAATTAAAAAAGAAAAGTATAGAATTTTTAAAGAAATTATTTTCAGTTATAAAATAAATATGTACATCTTGTGACAAGTATTATTACATTATTGGTATTTTTAATGAATAAAGAACAGTGGCATTTTTGAATTTATTTTGAAAAATATGTTACTACATGAATTTAATTATTTTCATTGAAAAATTATTGTACACATTATTGTAGGTATTATCTGAACTCGTATGTATATTTATTAAAATATAATTTATGTCTATTATGCAGTTCCACCTACAGATTTTCACGGCAGCAATGTGGTAACTGTACTCATTAACCATACGGAACAATTACGACAGTGGTATAATTAATTTACAACGTTGATTCCACGACTTTTTTCGTAGAATAGAATGCATCTGCATCCCAGTTTAACAAAGATAAAAAACACATATCACTGTAGCAATCAGTGTGAGACGAAATGAATTTCCTCGTTGAAACTTGAATACCAATTGAACGATTTATATTTATTAGACTTTATTTGCATCTGTGCAATTACTTGTCAATTTTTACGTGACGTATTTACTTGTATTTTTCTCCCACTGCCACTATCACTTTTAAGTAATCCTTTTTGAGAACACTTTGAAATCTCGTTGACACTTGACCTTTTCAGATCGTTGGACTTACGAAATTTCGTGAACAAAAGAACGATAATACATCCATCTATCTCCCCAACATGTGTCCCTTATTTATTTAAGATTTTTCGTTGGCGTTATCTTCACTATTTCCTTGTTGTTGGAGGATTTCGTTGGAATGTTTTTCTTTGCCTTCCGTTCTATTTTCTGTCGATGGATCCGCAATTTTTGACAGTTTATTCTGTTTTTTGTATCGACCCTCATCCACATATGAGTAAAGAATTCCTAGAATATCATGAGCTTTCGCGTACATCTCCTCCACCTTCTATGGAAAAATACCCAGTTTTGGATTAATGAGAAAAATTATTAATATATTCGTAGATTTATGTTGCAATAAATTTTAGATTTAATAAAATAGAACATGCATTCAAGGAATAATATTATACATTTTTTTTGAATATAATTAATACTGTGGACAGATGAGGTTTTATCTTACCAATCATTCTTTTGTTATTATACACAAAAAAAGCGGTTTCATTGTTTTTTTATGGATCAAATAAAATTTGAGGAACAATAACAGTGTTTGTAACACAAAAAAAATGTCTCTAATCAACTAATTCACTGTAAATAAATCGTTCAATTCTTTTTTCCAGACAAGGTAAATTTCTTAAGAGAGAAAAAGAATAAATAATCAAGGACTTTTTTCTTCTTTGCTTCATTGATAAAAAAAAAAGGATTGTTATGAGTAGAAAACCTTCCAACGCAGATAGTGTTTCATAGGAAGAACGTTGGTGTTTGTTCATTAAAGCAAATTTTAAGTAATATTAGATAAAAATGAATAACTTTACCTCTAGGTATTTTTAAAATTGTAAATTAAAAAACATCGATTATGGTTTACAGAATAAAAATTATCTCTTGGCGTTATTTTTTCCCTTTTTGTTGAAGAGTTTATATTTATTTAATAATGACGTAACATACCTGTGTTCCTCGGAGATCCTTGATAGCTTCTGTTTCGTAATGAATTCGATCATATTCCTTTTGTGTCAACATGTAGCCATCTTCAACGTCCTTAGAAATTTCCAATTCTTTTTTAGCTGCGACTGCTTCTTCTTCAGTCATAGGGATCTGTCGTAAATAGAAGAGCCATTTAATTGATATTCAATCAACAAAGTAAGGTATAAATAAAATCTGATAGTTGATAATTATTGAATTATTAATAAAAAAATGTATAGTGATAGATCACCAGTTCAGGAACTCCATCAACATAAATTCTTTTCATATAAATTTCCTTCTCTTCATTGTTTGATTTCTCTTTTTTTTGATCAGGATAGAGCATATTGTACAAGGATTTTTTCATTTTTTTCTGCTTGGATGTATGCTGATACATTCAGATAAAAATAAAGGAGTAAGGTCAAGTTATTTGTATCAAAATGCTTTCTAATATTTTTACTCATACCTTTTTCCTCTTTTGCTCGACGATAGCATCACAGTAGAGATACAGCTGAAAAAGTGGATATTGACGGATTTCTGCTGGAGCTTCGTGTACGGAAATTAAACGATTTAATATCATCGTCTTCGTTCGCATCAATTCATTCTTCTGAAAATAAAAATAAAATGCAAAAGTATATTATTATCATCATTATAATATGTTATTAATATTCTACATATCTATTCACAAATTTTCACTCATTAAAAATAAATTTATTTCTATTTTTTATGAGCGTAGGATTTTTTCGCTTAAATTTTAATGAATATTATTTTTAATCTGCTAAGTAGTTTTATCAGTTCAAAAATTGTAAAGAATAATTTGCAAATGCGAAATAAAATGTAGAAGCTTTTAGATTAGAATTAGCCATTTACGTAAATAAGTTCATGTCCGGAAATATATTTTTAAAATTGGCGCCAGCATGACGACTCATTACTTGAATAGAGAAATAAAGGTAATTTGTAAGAGATACTATTTAATAAAGAGCAATTCTATTGTGTTGCATCAATCGATTTTTTTCTGAATCATTCAAGTAATCAAGTTTCAATTTATACTTTCACAATTGGCTTCATGCCTATTTTTATAAACGGATGTGTTGCAAGTAATTAGGTGATACTCAAGTATACCAATTACAAAGAAAGCTGCCAGCAAAATTGTTATTTATGAAATTCATTCGTGATTCGAATTGTCAGGATTTATTGCATGACTAATTAAATAGCTTCTAAACTATATTACCATGTCAGTTATGGAGATTAAATTTCATTCATTGATTATTAGAATTTATTCATGGATATTATTTTAGGACTAGATTGTGACGAAGATCGTATGCTCGTTTTACAGTTGAATTTGTTAAGTCTGCTTGCATTTCTTGGTGGGTGGATAAATATAAATGTATTGGAGTGTATAGGAAACTGTCGATCGGAAGTCGCGCGTGACTGATGCACGCAGCCTTCGTGTTGATAACGACACGCGATGTAGGTATGTAATATTCGTAAAGTACTTTAAAACAGCGTTTCACTTAGATATTGGCCAAATTGCGCGGTACAACGAAATGACGGTAGTCAAGGCCTGTCGTAGCCATAAGTGCGAGAAAATGGGCTACTCTCATGCAACCTCAATTTTTCTTTTCATTATTTACTCCAAGTTAAATTCGAATATACTTTTATTTCATTTCCATCGATAGAAACTCATTGATTAGCGTCTGTCGTATCGTTTCATTCTCTTTTTATAGTCATGGAATGCTGCAAAATATATCCAACCAAAGTCGAATGGAGTTGGAGAAGTTTTACTTTTAATTAAAAACTCAAGAAATTTATGATTAAAATTTAATATTGGTAAATTTATTTATTTAAATTAAATTAAAAAATAGATATAAAAGAAAACCATTAGAGACTGTATATCAATAAATGTAACTGTCTCCAATTAGTATTTTCTATTAAAATAAAAAGCTATAAATAATTAAATAAAATAAACAGAAGGAAAACAAACCAATTTTATTCTTTCCCATATTCACATCCACCTTCAAATTATTTCAACTTCAAACAAATAATAACTTGGACTATTAGTTTACCTTTCTCTCTTCAATCCGACACTGTTGACGGGTTTCATAATCTTGTCGTAGTCTCGCCATTAAACGTAACATGTACTTCCGATCAGTTAATCGCACGATGTTACTACCCATTAACATTTCAAGCCGTGACCTCACAGGTGGACTGCTGAAGCTAAACAAAACAAACACACACACAATTACCTATTATTGGATTACAAGTTTGACAAGGGACTTTAATCAGCTACAATTATTTTTAATACATATTTTTTACAACAAATAAAACCGATAGACAACTGGTATTTTTATAAAGACTCTTTATCGGTCGAACTTTGAAGCTTTACTGAATTGTATACAGTATAAATTCGAGTAAAATAACGTTCGTGACTATGAAAACAGCCAGCTAGACATCGCAAATTTTCTAAGGATTTCTAGAGAAAGAGCGAGAAAGACAAAGATAGCACCAATAACAGCTTCAGGTGTTCAATGAGCTTTTAGTAGGCTTCAAGGTCTTCATAATTGGTGCGTAATCAACCATTTTCACCGAATATGATTCGTTAGTTCAATTGGCGTCAATTTATTTACGTAAATGAATTTGTGTAATAAATGAATATTGTTTAATTAATATAGAATGTAGATAAATACAATTTTGTAATTATTATTATTTTATACTTCAAAGGTAATTTTGTAACAATGTGTTAAATGAATCGTAAATAATTTTTTGAGAGTTTTAATTTTCAATAATTGATTGAATGGAGAGAATAACGAGTCATGTTGGGAAATGGATAAAAAAATATTTGAGTTTAAAAGGTTTTGTGTAAAGAATTATTTATTGGTGTTTACGTCGCATTCTACTTTTATGATTGAAGATTGAACCTGACGAGGTGCTTTATAAAACTTGTGGTAATGCTCTGTCTAGAGCAGAAGTTACTGAAGTAGAAAACCCGATAATTTTTCTATCGCTTCGTATGATTGACCGCTGGTTGGTTTAGTTTTTTATTGTTTTGTCTATTATTGACGATACTTGTTAAGAGGTTCGTAAGTGCTATCATGTATAATGACATCATTAACTCGAGATAATGAATTTTATGCGAGAGTGTAGCTTACCAAAAGGTAAGAAGTAAGAATTCGTGTAGTTCAACCATGATGCTAACGTTGATGTGAGCTTTGTACGACTGAATTTTTATTTGCGTTTAACTCGAAACATTTAAAGTATCGGGGGGTAGTTTAGTGGAGGAATTGACATAGTGAGCTGAGGAAAAATGCCAAACTAGGAAAGTAGAAAGAGGAGTGGTGGTAACCAGGTAGAACCAGCTGAAGAGAGGCACGATGTCTCTCACTGGAGTTGCCAGTATGACACGACGAAAAATATAAGCATGGTAATAAGTGCATGTCAGTAGGACAAGTAAAACGAATGTGGGACATGGGAAGGACGATCGAGTATCGATCATTGTACAATCAAGCATATCAACTTTGTGCAATCGATTACGCTTTACGATAGCTTTTGTCGAGTAATGTGTAATGGCATTGGTTTTTTGTAAACATGCATTATGCATTTTTTTAACTTCGTCATTTGTAACTAAATTGAAGAAAGAAATGAAATATTTCATTTATTCATAACTTTTCATTTTTTTTTTAATTAAATTATGATAATAGACTTTAAAATGCATTTTTTTCTTATTTAAATAATTTCATTCTAATCTAATATCCCCTGATGTATTTTAATGATTTTACAAATTGCAAAATTTTTATCTATGTTGTCTACGTCAAAATTGCTTTCAAAAATACTTTTGCTATTTTTAATAAACATTAGAGAGATTTAATTACATTACAAAATTATTTCCAAACATATAAATATTTTTTTTTAGTAATAAACTAGTGATAAAACCAATTAAAATCGTTTTACAACTCTAAAAAAAGGAATTGTTTCGCAACTATGTTTCAACGAAGTGCCGTTAATGGACATTTTAATAACGAAATTTTCACGAAATCTGTTTTATTTTACACAATAAAATTTTCATTCGAAGGCTATTGCGAACATATATGTAAGCTTTGTAACTATAAAATTGGATAAAATGGTTCATGCGAATTAGTTTATGCATGACGCTGCAAGGATACTTTGCGACCATAGAGAGTGCCATGGGGAATTGAATATCGATAACGGACGACATCCCACGACTCTAGTGAGGAAAGTACGTCCATGCCTCGACATCTGTAGAATATTTAACTCACTCTACCATCACTTACTATCTAATTTAATATTAGAATCGTTTCAAGAAGTTAGAAAAAGAGTCAACATTAAAGTGAACAGTTCTACAGTTATGTATAATCTTTTTCTTTTTTAAAGAAAAATTTTCGTGTAAAACATTTACAATAACTTGAAATTTTTATAAGAAAACCATCTTTTTTACTTAACTTCCGAAAAATTAAATTACATTTTTATTTCTGGTATTTTCAGTCCGCCTACTCTATTCATTTTAAGTTACTTTGTAGCCTTGTCGTAAAATTTTTTCGTATATTTACGATGTCCCTTTTATATTGTATACTATCAAGAAAGAAATAAAACTAAATTATCGAACGCGCTAAAAATATCATCAGTAACTTACTGAATGTCTGGATTCTTTTCTATAATCTTAAAAAAATTCCAAAGCTATGTGGACCCTGAGCGATGAGTAAATAGAGGGAGATCAATGAACCGATTGTAAATATAATATGTATAGAAATTTTATTCAACTGTTCCTATATCATCAAATAAGTAAATATTCAATAAAAAAACCAGCCTTTCAAAATAGTACAATAGTTACTTTTCATTCTACACTATTTTAAGTAGATCAACTCACCATGCTTTTAATTCCATATCTGTTTTTCTCTCTTTTATTATTTTTTTTTATAAAATAAATTTTATTTAAGAAAAATACACTGAATTAAATTGAAACATTGATACAATTCTTTACTGTGAGTTTTAATTGAAAAGTGAAAAACATTGTTGTAATAAATAGTATTTTATTTTCTCTTAGATTTATATTAATGAATTCTTACGTTTTAGCTACTTAGATTGAGCTCTTGAAAATAACAAAAAATACCAGAATACATTTATTTTTTTTTACTATAAAATTTAATTGGAGATTTATGTAAGTTTATAATTAATTGTTCTACATCGAATAATGTGAAGTTCATGATCACAACATAATCATAATATAATTATTATAGTGAGTATCAAAGCACTTTAAAGCAATTAAATTAGATGTAGCAGCCACTTGAGCAAACCAAAATAACAGAGTTATTTGCTATCCTAATTTTGTGGATAGAGTACTTCATTTTATTAACAAAAGTTTTATTGGACGTTGCGAAGGTCGTAAACCTGTGGGATTTCTTTTTAATGAAAGTACGTGATTGAGTGGAGTAATATAACCATGTTTATTGTCCCCAAAAACTCTGACGTCTTCTTTTTTGATATCAGGAATTTGATCAATAGCGTCGGTGGAAATTATATGCATAAAAAAATTTTTTTTGCATCTATTATTTCATTTTTGAATATTTTTATTTATTACAAATTTCCATTATATTTCATTCCATTAGACTTTTCGATAACAATTTTATTTTAAATTGATTTCAATGAATTTTTTCTCTAATTTATTATTTTTGAACTGATTGTATTATTAATAGATTCCGAATCCCTTCTTCTAAAAATTAGTTATAAGTTTTCCTGACCTGAATATGATTAGTCACATAACGACGAATGCAATGGGGGATGAAACTTTAGCAGGAAGATAAATAGGATAAAATTAATTAACAACTTTATCCAGACTTTACTAAGACCAATTTAAGGTATATGACGTCAATCAGAACCTTTATAAGGTTTTTTAGGAAGACAAATATATTTTTAATTAATTAAGAATGCTTTAGTGTTTGTTAATGCTCTTGAGGTAATCAAAAAATAATTTTTTATACCAAGTTACTGCATAATGTTTATCGTTTGTGATAAAAGATAAGTGCGAGAAAAGATTTCTGCAGCTTTAATGGTAAAGTCGTATTATCTTGAGCAGATGTCTGACTGAACATCGGATGTTTCTACTGACTTTAAAAATTTCCGTCTGTTTTTATTTTTAAAAGTTCCATTTACGTCTTAATTATGGAATAGCATAGTGAATGAATAACGTGGCATAGCAATTAAAAATGGATAAACTAATTTATCTGTCAGAAAAGTGGAAACTTTACCTGCAATCAATCAAAGTTACATGATTTGAAGACCACATGTCAGATTCTGATCCATGAGATTCAACTTCTTTCATTTTTTTTTCTCGCTCATGTCGTAATTTAACTTTGGTAGTTATTGTATCCAACCAGTCCTCAATATCATCATTCAATAAATCAACGCTTGTTACTTCTTTCAGACCATCAACAAGAAGTTCTAGTGTTGCCCAAAATCCATCACTTGATGGTGAATTCATCCTAATGCTATATTCCTTTACTTTCTTTTGCTAACAATTGTCAATTCTGTTTTAAAAATTCATCTTACTTATTTAAATTAAGATTCAAATCTTTGAATGAAAATTATTTGAATATTTATTAATCACTTGGACTAAAACTTGTAAAAGAATTTGATCAAATTCATCAGCACTGAATAGAAGAGTAGTTGGTATGTTAAGTTACTAATAGAACGATGTTTAGAGAGTGATAATAGAGATAGACTTAAACTCTGATTTGAACACTTCACTGACTTCTTTTCCAAGTATTTTCTACCCCAAGTTTCTAAATTCATTGAACCAACGGCTCCTACCACATTTGAAAAGCAGCAATCGCAATTCTGAATATATAGTGTTGGTCTTCAGGGGCAGGTCGAGGAAGTTACATACAATTCACAGTCAGTCTAGACTGAAGATAGCTTGGCATTCTGTCACGTTTCAGTCATGAGGTAGACGGAGACAGCTTGATGATATGACACCTGGTTACAAACACGCGATACTGCTCATCATTCCGCACAATCTCTGCGTGCACGTAGATGTTTATGCTGTGAATTACTATTTTCACCAGGAGATTGATGATCGATTTAGGAGGTGATTCATTCCCTCAAAATGTTCGCACCCGAGTCGCCATGGAATCGCGTGGTTTTGCTGTCATACACTTTATTGGTATCATATGATAAATATCTCTTTGCCACGATTTTCTTTCACTATTGTTTAAATAATACGATGATATGTCAGAAATAAATATCAATATAAATATGAATATTATTCAAGAATTAATTCCAAAGATTTGTTTATAAAACAATCATTCCAATAGAGATGATTTAATTTCATCAATAATAATTTGTAGCAAATTATTCCAACATTCGTTTGGTACTTATGTAAGAGAAATATAAGGAATTATGAAGATAAAAAATATTCCTCTATTGTTGTTTAAAATAAATTTTTTATTTCAACAACTCAATATTTTTTATGATACATAAAGTTTATTTTTCATGAAATTGTGACTAAAAATATTAAACCATTAAACTGTTCAACCCCATTCATATTTTATTATTTCAAGTTAAAATTCAAATGATATTCTAGTCAGCGATACTCTAATTTTTATGAATAATAAAAAAAAAATAGCATGTCTTATCAATAAAAATAGTTTCAAAAATAAATCGTGTTTTAAAAGTCCATTTAGGGGTGAGTAGGATTTTTATTAGAAAACACGAAACCACACAGTTAAGTACCGTGAGACTTTTTGGGAAGAACGTCGCGTGATTAACGCCAAGAACCTGAAATTGTGCATACTTGATTTTTGAGACGAGCACCGGAAAACCCAAAATCGATTTACAAAGGTGAATAATAACTAGAGTAATAGTTGGTAGTGCTAAGCGTGCTTTCTCACTCATCTATTCAACGTAAAATAAACTAGGGAATGTGGAAGTAATGCGATTGTCGAGTGGTGCCAAGTTTCCGTGATATCTCCAACCATAATATTCCTTTCGTTGATTGACGTATACAAAAATTGACTAGAGCTTAATAGCTTAATTGCAATCATTCCAACATTAATTACTATCAATTTTTCTATGTTGCTTCACACCAATAATTATTTATCACAACTTACGCATATTTTATTGGCTTCGTTTCCCACCACTTTAATGGACGTTCATGAAGATCAACACTTGATTGAAATATTTGATTCATTTTTATCTTTTTCATCTTTTGACTTTTTATTTTCTTCTTCGGTTTCTCTTTAAACCGTAACTTAGTATTTTTTTCCACCAAATTCACCATTTTGTAAATAATTTAATAATAAAAAAATTAGAATTTTTAGATTGCTTTTTATAAAATAATTTCAAAACTTTTTATTTTTTTTTATAACATTGCCAAACAATTTTAAGCCTAGTGTAGGTTTTGGACACAGCTGTGAATATGGCATTTATAATTAAAACAAAAGATGGGAAATAAACTGGTGATCCTTTTTTTATTTCATTTACTTATCGACTAATTATTTAATTCTTTCAATTATTTATCAACAATTTTATTAATGAAGAATGCGTTTTAAAAATGAGTATCAAAGACTTGTCACTTTAACAATATTTACAGCAGTCACATTGGAATCTGTATCAGCTTTATTGATGAATCTCTTCCATGCATCTCGATCCTCTGGTCTACTTGGTCCCCACTTGGAGGTTGGATTGAGACCGACCTCGAACTTTTCTCTAAAGGTTCCCTAGAATTATAGGAAATTATTTGAGTTATTTTTATAACTTATTACTTCTTCTAATCAATAATTGTATTTAATGAAAATCTTCTAAATTCGATAACACTTTTTCTAAAAATAGATGACTCATTACCAAAGAATAATTTGATAAAAAACTTCATTTAATTTGTTTACAAAAGCTTATTCACTTACTGATGAAGTAAATTATGAAGGAAAATTAAATTGAGTCTAAGGATATTCACCTTTGTAGTAAAGAAATGATAAATTGCATAACCAGGAATACACAGCATACTGGTCATACATGAACACCAGCCAAGAAAAACAGCCCATTCTGGATATGGTTTCCCATTGTACGTGATACGAGTATTGAAAATGATAGTTGTAGCGAAGATAAACTAAAAAATAAATAGCAATGCGTGAGTTATGTTATTAATATAAAAGTTTCTTAATAAATCGCAATTTAATAAACAATCATTTGCTTTCACATTTATAATAAATACTTTTTTATCGTTTCTATATTATGATGAATATATAGCTGACGTGACAGAAATAATAGATAGCTCTGAAGAAACTACCATCATATTTTTACTATATTATTATATTTATCTGATTATTTTTATTAATAATAACGAATAACTTACAGTGAGAATAGTAGGGGTGACATATTTCCAAGCAAAGGGCCACCAAGAATGAACTTTTTTGCCAAGCATAAATTCGATGTCACGAATGAAATTGTCACAACCTGGAAGAGAGGACGTTTTTGGTCTTAATGTATAAAAATATTTGGGACATTTCATTTCCGGGGTCAAATTTAGATAGAGGATGTCACGTTAATCAGCTAAATAAATTTTCTCATGAATCTTCTGAAGAATCTTATTAACAGTCATTGAGATAATTTTATTAATGATTATTTACCATAAATCCATCCAACAATGACCACTTCTACAAGACAGATTGATATAACTGACACTGATGCTGCATACCAGTCAAACATTTGAAGTATATACATTCCACCCTTGAAAGAATAACATTCTGTTTGTAAAAATTAATTATAAAATCATTTATTATTTTATTAAGTAATAGAAATCTCTCTTACATTGGTGACAAATATATTCGAGCCCAAGAATAGTATAACTAAAGAGGCCACAGTAACCAATCGTTTATGATTCATCAATTTTGGGTATGCATCAGTCACACTTGATATGATGGCCTCAATTTGAACAAACTGAGATGATGATGATAAATAAAATAAAAATAATTTTTAAAACTAATTCATAAATCTGCAAGGGATTACCATGATCTACTTACACAACTGTCCATTCCAAGAAAATAAAGCATTGAAAAAAATAAGATGGACCATAATTGAGGAACTGGAAGCATTGTTAATGCTTCCGGGTAAGTTTCGAAAGCTAATGAAGGTCCGCCCACAGCTACAGCTGCTACAGGTAATCCTGTTCTATGGGCCATGAATCCAAGAACAGAAAATACTACAAAACCAGCAAATATACTTGTCCCACAATTTAGAATGGGAATGAAGATAGAATCACTGAAAGATTGATTGATATATTAAGGCTATAATTATTTAGAATGATTAATATTTGAATAAATAGGAATATTTACAGTCGATTGTCATTTCTAAAAGTATTGTAACTCGCCATGTTCACTATTCCACCCCATCCAGGGCCAAGGGAGAAAAATATTTGTATTGCTGCATCCGCCCAAACCTTTATAAATAGAAAAAAACAAATCATTGTTTAAGTTTTCACTGATTAGAAATTAATAGATCGTTAGGATTATTTATAGAAGTAAATACATTACTCGTAAGTTTGTTAATTCAGACCACTTAGGGGTGATATAGAACCAAATTCCATCCATGGCTCCAGGAAGGGTAACACCTCGAATTAGTAAAATAAACAGAATGAGAAATGGGAATGTTGCAGTAAAGTAAACAACCTATATTAAAAAAATTACATAATAGTCATTTATTTATTTACTCAAGACATTTTTATTTACGTAAATAGAAATATTGTTTTACCTTTCCAACACTTTTTACTCCATTACAAATGCATAGAAATATAATTATCCAAGAAACAAGGTTGCAGGTAAATAGTGGCCACACTATCCCACCAATTTCATGGATTCCAGATGATATTTGAAGAATATTACGACTGTAAAATTAGACTGTTAATAATAATTTTGGTTTAATATTTATTTTACCAAAAATATTACCTGAAGAACTCCTCTGCAGGAGTACTGACTTTATTCATGAATCCAGTGATGTCAGAGGTATTTCTTATATTATTAATTTGATTGATCTGTGATCATAAAATAATTATTTAACATGAATACTTATTTCTGAATAATCAAACTATTTTTAAAATAATATTATGAAAATTACTCGAACGCAATTAGGTGTATTCCAAGGATTATCACAATCCTCCCATGGCAGTTTACTCCTTAGAGACATTATTAAAAACATTATTGGATATGAAATAATGACGTTGTAGTACATAGTGCATATTATATTTACAATAACAACAGCAAATCCAGCACCTAATGAAAAATTAGCAATTCAATAAATTTTTTTATTTTATTTAATGTAAAATAATTTGTATTAGCTTACCTTTGAACAAAGGGCTGATTCGAAATACAGTAATACATCCTGTTCCACTAAATTGTCCTAAGGACGATTCCATAAAGAACAGAGGTATGCCGCATGTAAAAAGCATCAATAAGTAGGGTACGAGAAATGCACCTACATGATAATAAGCAATTATTTAATAGCTCTTAACTTATAAACAAACAAATCATTAAAGTCTTTACTTGATGTAGTTATTTGTTTCAAAACTTTAAATTGAAATAAAGAATATATTGAATCAAAATTGCAACAAATGCTATCTTATTTTCTTAGATTGTCTAATTAAGGTGTTTATTCAATTGTAATTCCCCCAAACAGGATGTTATTCGGTGCTATAGTAAATATTATCATTAAATATAATAACTTCTTAGTCATCACTTTCTCTAATGCTTATTTTTAGAATTACTACATAACTGGTATAATTTAGCAAATCCAAATAGCTGATCTATTTTTAGAAAAATAATAATTGGAAAATTCTTGGTTTTCCACACTTTTATTAATGTAAATTATACATCTGCTACATGTACTGAAGATTCAACAAATCCTGCTTAAGAAAATTTGAATATTTGAAGTAAATTGTATGAATTCAATGATAATGGGATTGAAGTAATGTCTAAATCTAGACAGTTGCTCAATTGGATCCATTATTTCATAGAATTTTTTTTTTTAATGTTTAAAAATTTATTTTATAAGTAAAATAATGGAGTAAATAGTTATTGAACAAACCTCCTCCATTTCTGTAACATAAATAGGGAAACCTCCACACGTTTCCCAGTCCAATAGCATATCCAGCACATGACAATAAGAATTCTGCTTTACTTGCCCACGTGCCTCGATCAGGTTCTTCTTTATTTTTTTGCACTACTTCTTTTTCTGGATCCATCTTAATGGCTTCCTTTTTCTTATCTTGTAACTCAAACAGTCATCAACAAAACACATAAACAGAACACAATTTCATTTCATTTGTTTATCATTAAGAATGCAAATAAGTTTGTATTCAAGAATTATTGGTGATTATTAGACGAAGATTTTTTTCCAATGAGAGAGGCTGATAGGAATGATGTTTAGAAGAACTTGAATTTTTAAATAGAAGATTTTCTAGTTATTTCAGTGTTTAGTAATATAAGATGAGCCAGAAATAACTTAACTACTGACGAGCTAATTCACGACTATAACAATGCTTCTCCATGTGGACCAGTGCCCCTATACGACTGCACAATCACCTCAAGTATAAACGTCAGCATACAAATAGGATGTGATAACGCTTATTATGTTGATAGGCAGTGGTAACTAAAAGGTATTTTGATCGTCGTATGAATTGATGTGATAGTATAATCGTTGAAGGGAATATGAATATATAGAAAGAGAGGTACAATTGATGATCTAGTGAGGTAGACTCTTTACTCATTATCAAATATATTTCCAACATTAGTCCTTCTGTTAAGCCCTTCTGATCAGGAAACTCAAAGTCATTGAATCAATTTTCATTGCTATTATATGGTACCAGTTCAGTTTTCATACAATGACTACCATGAAAATCCCTTTAATAAATTCCATCTTCAGATTACTCCAAAATAATTAATGCTACCTTAATATCAAAAATTTGTTCATCACAATGAAAAAATAAATACATCAAACATTTTTTCATAGTGTACCAGAAATGTTGATGATTGCAAAAACTTTGCATTTAAATTTATTGATCAAACATCAGCCAACCAAGAATAAATGATAGAAAATTTAATGAACCAGTTAATTTAACAATCTGTAATGCACAATAGGTTGCTCATGGAGCATTTTATTTACTCTATTTCAATTTAAATCAATAGTTATTAAACTAGATCACCACCGATATTTCAGGAATCTAGCTTCATCCAAGCTTTTCATCAGAGTATTGAGCATGCTTACCACTCGATTGCATGACTCTACTTATCACCCAAGTGGTAAAGTTTGATGTAGTAGTTAGCTTGAATACCATCCAAAGGAAACTACCAAGCACCTGCAATCAATTCCAGAGCTTCCAGCATATGGATAAAAAATTCTTGCTATTATCCCACAAGTTCAAGTTCTCTAGGAAGAATTTTACTTCAAACAGAGGTAGCAGCTCTAGGTCTGTTCAATGAAACTCACCATTAATTTCATAACTCTAGGGTGATAAAATTAATTAGAAATTCCATCTCAATATTACTGGAGTTTATTTTCATTACAAAAATTAGAAAAGTCAGAAGCTTTAAATCTTCTAATGCTGTAGACTGTTAAGATGAAAAAAGAGATATAGAAGATATCTAAAATTTTACATTAGAAGTAAGCTTTCATCCGTAAAAGGACATACATAATGAAGGAGTGGAGTGGTTGAATGGTCTAAGTAGAAGTGAGTATCGTAAGACAGCAATGAGAGAGGTTGTATTAATGTTGTATCTAGTTCATTTTCTTTCTCTCTTCCTCTATATCACCCAACATCGCTTATCCTCTCAAGGCCACTCCGCAATTGCTCTAATGCATCTCCAGTTACGTTTATCTGGGTGGAACAGACTCCAGCTGGCCCCTAGAAAACCCTCGGCTTATGCTAAAACCATATTGGCATCCAAGATTATCAGAAGTAAATCAAGTAAAAAATTACTTTTCAATTAATTTATCGTAAATTTTTCAACTAATTATCTGGACTCAAATTCTGATTAAAATTTAGTACCCAATTATTTTATCAATTCAATTGATTCTCATGAATGTTGAGTTTGTTAATCAATATTTTTTTTTGTATAAATTTCATTGGATACATCAATTATATCTCGGGAAATTCAAATAGAATTGAACACTAGTATTTGCATGGAAGTTAAATTTCATAAGAAAAAATAGTTTGGAAAATCTCTTGTTAAAAAATGATGAAAGGATCTCCAACTAAAGTAGCTATTAGTTACTTCTACAGACAAAATACCTAACTTTATCCCTTTCGTCTGTTCACTCTATTTATATTGTTCCACCATTTCATTCTCTTAACTTTGTCCAAATGACATATTGATCTTCCCCATTATTCAGTTATTTTATTCAACAATAAATAGAAATTCAACTAGATTCAATTCAATTTAGATTTAAAAGGTAAAAGTCTTTCGGCCTTCCAAAATATTTTATAAGTATACTTCAATGGTATGGATGTTCTCATAAATGGTGATTAAATATGAATACAATTATGGATTTTCGTTGACTTGACTATACATCAAATATTCAACAGCCTAATAATGCTTTATTCATATTTAATTTAGTTCTTTGGTCATCATTATTTCTAACCAAGCTCGAGATTTATATTTGAAAAACCTTGTGTCACATGAATACCTCTTGTAATGATAAAATATGAAAGGACCAGTGTATAATCCATCAAGATCAGCGAATGCATGTTGTGTGACTACGATGGACCACGTATCATAATTACACGATGCAGCCTACATATCATCTAGGTGGACATTCTTCAGTGTCGTTTCCAATTAACACTGCACCAACGTCGTTATAATTGACACAAAATCGGAATAATGCCTGAAATGTATTATGAATTATGAAAAATATGTATGACCATGCATAATTTACACTGTACGTAGACACCAAATTATTTAATTAATTTTTTTTTTCCACCACCACCAAAAAAAAACAATATTAAAAAATATTTGTATGAAAAATAATGAATCCTGGAGTTCTTTGTTCTATTGTAAACAGAATACAGACTCGAATAATTGATGATAAATTAATATTCAACTGTTTGCGTGTGTGAATAGTTTATTAACAGTGACTATTATCTTTTCAGAATAAACCGAAAGTGTAGTAACGGTTTAAGGGTCACTATCTAGTTGTTTAGTCGCTGCAAAAAGGCTAAAGTACTGATCATTTACTTGGATACATGTGTGAACTGCTCGCGTTGCCTCTAAATAATTCATATGACACGCAACACAAATTCCATTTGCCCCTTTCCCCTCATAGATAGGAAGAATAAAACATGTCTCGAATATCGTAGTTATCTGTCCGCTTGATCGCTTGTTGAAGATTGTCATTGAATGATGCAAATATCGTTATTTGACATCTAATCGATACACGTGTTTTTAAACTAAATAGTCGATTAAATATGCGGATATTGATAATGTATAACAATTACACTAGTCATGTATTTCATTTATTTATTAAGACCTTCAATAAAAGCTCAAGCATTTATTGATTTTATTTAATTAAGTTAAATGAAATAACTAAACTGTAGAATAGATTATGAAGCTTTGGATAATTCATTTTAATACAAAATATAAAAATGAAATTAATTATTAAAATGAAAAGTATGATGGAATGTTAACAATAAGATAAATTTAATCAGTGAGCAAAGTTCAGGATCTTTGAGAAAATCAGCAGGAAGAAAAACAACATCTGATGAAGTATTTGATAGAGAAACAGAAATGAGGCTGTATCTTATCGGTCAATTTCTCGACGACATTGATGGACCTGCTCTTGGTATAGATACATTATAGAAAATTCTCACATTTAATAAAATAATCCCAGAATTAAATAATATTTCATCCATCATTTGCTAACATTAGCGACATGAAGACAGATATTTTGGATCATACATTAAAAAAATTTCACTCGAAAAGAACGGACATTGTGCAATGTAAAAAATAACTTTGTTGATGATCCATTGGACATTGTGGTTCGAACAACGTTAAGATAGATCGTCAATTTGTGGAGTCAGATAAAAAAATTCTGGTTGTTAGCAACTGAAGTATAAGGACCTTGTATTCCTATTCATAAATCATTTATCAAAGATAATTCATTTTAGACAGTAGAAAAAATTGTCATCTGGAATAATTTTTCTAGACAAATAAAGATTAATTATCCTTACAACATAAATTTTTACCAACTAAATGTGACATCATTGAAAAATGCAAAATAGTACATATTTCATGTTTTTTATTTTTCTAGAGTTCATTTTATTTCATTAAATTCATAAAAGTTATTTACAAAAAAAATCTGAACAAAACTTTATTCATAATTTTTGTTTATTTATAAAAAAATTAGCAAGATGGAAGAATGTTTAATAAAAATTACTTGACAGTTTTCAGTCAATGATTCGTCTAATAATATGCTGTAAATACTCTATAATTTTCAGTTCTAACTATGCCTTCAACTTAGACAAAGGTAATAGTTAATTATCTTCAACTTGAGCTTACATCATATCTCGAATACGTTAGAAACATATGTATTTCAAACTAATTAGATGAATTCTATTATTAACTCATGAATTATAATCTGATATTCATATTATTTTATTACAAAATTCTCAAACGAATCCTCATGAATATCTATCCAATACTCTTTTAAGAGAACATTGGTTCCATGAATCAAAATACTATTTATGATAAATATTAGATAAATAACAAAGAATAAGTATCAATAATAATTAGCTAAACAGCAATTTTAACTATAAAAGAATTGTTTATTTTTTTATGAAGAGTACCATTTGACAAGCAATGTTTTTCGTAGAGGTCTCGCTCTACCTTTTCTATTCAAGTAAATTATTTATTACTAATGAATTCTTTACACTTTACAAGCTTCGATGAATTTCTAAAACTATATCTAGTTATGTTTCCATTGACATTTAGCCAATAAAATAATAATTTAGTCGTAATTGAATTTAAAATGTTGCAAGGTTCACTTTTTTCTTCAATAAATTGTTAGCAATCTAAAAATACAATTTTCTCATCATGTAAAAACGAACTGATTTCAGCTATTTATTTTTTATATATATAGTATGAATGTACATATACATGTAGAGTGAAGCCAATTAATTTAGTTGGCGCCATGTGATTTTTTAACATCCATCGTCTAGCAACGTCCATTTAACCGACATTCAATTTGACCGTGCATATTTTTTTCTATTACAGTTCCCTTGATATCCCTACGATACTCTCAATACACCGATGGGGATGGAGTAGACCTCCGATCCGCCCTATACGAGTAGATCACCATCGGGTATTCGGGCAGGGAGAAAAAGCAATTATCCAAGGACTGTTCTAATTAATTGCCAGGTTTTTATTGTGAAATTCAAAATACCTTCACTCATACTTTCCCCTGGAGCAGTGTGTATTTCCAATGATTGAATTTTTCCCTTAAATTGTAAGCGGCAATCAGAAAAATCATTTTAATTAATAATTTAATACGTTCATTTATTTTTT